GATATCGTGCTGTTCGCAAATTAATCAACAGTGGGAAACGTACGGTTCACACCGCCATATCATTCTTTATGTCAGTATAATTTTCACGTTAAACATATGTGCGTTAATACAATATGTATGATACGGTGTGCAGAATACCGAATATATACCGTATGTGTAATACGATAATAATACATTATTCATACTGTAAAGATACTGATCGCAAAATACGGTTATACTGTATGATAACAGTATGTATATTTTTTTATAGGGTTGAAAGCAATGTTTCAAGTAAGAAGATTTTCACAAGGTAGGTTACATAAGTTATAAATGTTTAGTATTGTTTTTTATCACAGTGTTAACAAATTGATGGTTTTAAGAAATCGACAGTTAAGAGAAATTTCGTTAATCATGTGTGGAAAAATTGGAATTTGAGATTAGTCTGGGGGAAAGAATTCGTATGTAGAGACTAGCATGTTATATACGAACGAATAAAAAATGTAATTGAGCAGTAAGACGCAAAATGTATACAAAAAAATAAGGAGGTCTTAAGGGTGTTAGTATAATAATACCATAAAATTACCCACAATGATAATAAGTAGCGTTGGAAATCAGTAGAATCCATTTTTCTCCATCGATGAAGCAACTATTAATTTTTACAGAACATATTATCTCTCGGGTAAATATTCTGATAGTTTATTATTGTCGATATTTCTCCCTATTCTCCTATTAAGTAACGATTTTCCTTTAACGTATTTACTGTATTTTTGGAATAATATAAATCATGGGCCAGGTCCCGAACTTATTCTACACATTCCTTTGAGAATCCCCTTCAGGCATTTTATAATGGGTATTAATAAAAATAAACTACGCTATATGTATTTTTTTGTGAACGAGTGTCATATTTGCAATGTGTTGTAGTGTATCCCTAATAGCCGGCTGTGATGTTATCGTATAAAGTTAGGGTAACATGAAATTTGAAGGTTACGATATATTGGTCATATAATATCGATACCTGAAGGTCTCATCTCATGTGATCTTGAAATATTTTCCCTGTAAGGCGTTAAAGCGTGATTGAACTTGTTTCTCGTATCTTTACTATTTAACAGTTTCACCAACTAGTATAGCCAACGTTTCGTGATTGAAGTTTCTAATATCAACAGGAATGTAGGAATGTAGTGTATTAACATGATTTATCGGTGAACTCAGCTCACAGTCTCTTCATATAACTTTTAACTATTAGGAATATTAACATGAAAAGCGAATGAAGCACTAGTAATTTTTTCTAGAAATGGATATGATACTAGTTATGGTATTTTTGTGACCTTGAAATGGTATATCGTATTCCTAAGGTGTCCTGTAATCACGTTGGATATTTTTATTACTTTGTCCCTTATAAAACATCGATTTATACCCTAGTTTGAATTTTTTTTCATAATTCATTGTTGCTATTTTAATAACGAATGTATAGTTCTACCTAGGGGTTAGATAAATAAACGGAAAAAATAATTAACCGCAGACTGCCCAAAGGGCACATGATACTGTATAAATGGATATCGACTGCAGTTATCATCAGGTAGAAGATAACGTGGGAAGAATATGAGTGGATGACTGCGGAGAAGAATATGAGTGGACAACGGGAAAGGAATGACGTATGGGATAACGTGGAAAGAATATGAGTGGACGACTGCATAAAAGAATATGAGTGGACAATGGATATGTAGCATCCTATTCGTATCATTTAATGATTTAGGTGTGATAAATAAAATACAATGCTATGTACAGTATAAATATCGTCCGCAATATTTTAATGTCTCCAAATGTTGGAATTGATCAAATTTCGCTTTTATCTTTTTTCGAAATTATTGCATGTGTAATAAATGCTAATTCGTAATTTGTGTAATCGCTTGTATTAGCCTCATATTGATCAACAAAAAAATACCATAATTACTTTATTTCTTTATCCTGAGAATATTTATCCCAGATTGCTATCGGTATTACTTCTCAATTTAGGGTTGGTAAAAGTCCTTATTTCAGACCTAAAGACTCAGTCCTAAGACTGAGTCTGCAGATCTTTAAGTCTGATTTTTTGGACTAATAAGGAGTTAGTCTTAAATGAGTCCTAACCAATAAAAAGGGTTTTTACATTTGGTATATATATTACACGGTATTTTAATTTTTGTTGTACAAACTTATACAATGAGTTTAGATGACGCGTTTAATTTTGTTGACTTGGAGAGTGACGACATTTTGGATAACATATTACATACTGAAAAAAGTTTTCGAAAAACTTCACCTCTATGGAATTATGTAGATTGTAAAAGCCCAGCTCACCCGGGAGTACCTGTATGCAAAAGGTGCAATTATGTATTTTCTATTAAGTCAAGTAATACTACTATTGAACGGCATCTTTTAAATAAGCACAACATAATAATCCCAAAGGTCAGAAAGCAAACAACATTAAATTTCAAATGTACAGACCCTTGGCCTGCAAAAGAAAAATTGGAGCGAGACAAAGCAGTTGTTATTTGGATTATTGATAACCAACAACCTTTTAGTGTTGTGAAAAATGAAAAATTTATTGAAATGATGCATATTTTCGATCCTCGTTACAAAATTCCTGATCGACATCAAATAAAAGAAATGATTATTGATGAATTTAATGAACGTCATTCTAATATTGGCTATGATTTACAAAAAATATCCAGTAAAGTTTCCTTCACTGCCGATATGTGGACATCAACTATAAGTAGTGAAGCATACCTTGGCCTAACAATTCACTATATTGACCAAAATTGGGTTCTTCAGCGTTTTTTACTTGATATTATTCCTTTTAAAGTTAGTCATACAGGAATCAATATGGCAGCAGCAATCACTAATGTTCTTAATGAATTCAACTTAGCAGGTAAAGCGTTAGCACTTACTACAGATAATGAATCTGTGATGTTAGTCGGTATGTGGACGGAAATTATCAGAAGAATTTGAAAAAGAATTAAATAATCTTACCTTCAGCCATTATCGTTGTTCAGCACATATACTTAACCTTGCAGTTAAGCAAGGAATGGAAATAGTTGATCAAGAAATAGTAGAAGTGCGACAACTAATGTCAAAAATTAAAAATTCAGTCTTATTATGTGATGAATTACGTGAATTATGTGTTATAGAGAAACTTGAGTATCTTCGGCCAGAAATAGACATAAAAACGAGGTGGAACTCCACCTATTACATGCTTCGTAAGTTACAGCGAATGGAAACAGCATTGAAAATGCTTGCAGCTAAACATGATAGTGTGCGTGAATTAATGCCAGATATTGAAGCATGGACGAAAATAAAGGTAAAAATGAAATAATATTTTTTTTTTAATAACAAGTTTCTTTTTTTTCGTTATTACTACTTACAAAATTAAATCCTTTTTAATTATTAATCAAAGGAAACAGTGATCATTTTAGAACCCCTTGAAAGAGCAACAAAAAACCTCTCAGGATCATTGTACCCAACTATTGCTGATGTTAGATTTTACTTTAATGAAATTCGTGATCATCTAAAGTATTGTGTGGAAAGGGAGGATGGATTTGGACAATACATGTTAGCTGCTTCAATAAATGAAAAACTTAAAGAATACTGGTTAATTATTGATAATAATACTACCATCTCATCAATATTAGACCCCCGAAATAAAATTTCTCTTTTTGAACCAGGTGAACCAACGACAAATGCTATTGCCACCTTACGTGAACAATTTTCCTTCTATCTTTCCCAAAAGCCACAATCACAAGCTTCCCTTCCTTCTACATCATCAAGAGAATATTTTCGTCAACTAAAAAAATGTCGTATAGGAGTAACTGCTGAAACAACACTACCACCCTCACCTAGCCCTGATTTTGCTGAAATAGAAAGATATCTAACTTTGCCATATGATGAAAATGTGGAAGCGCTTCTTTGGTGGCAAGCCCACTCCACTGAATTTCCGGTACTCTCACTAATGGCAAAAGACTACTTAGCAATACAATCCACAAGTGTAGCCTGTGAACAAGCATTTTCTGTTGCAGGCAATACAATCACCAAAGTTCAAAATCGTTTATGTCCAGAGACTGCAAGAGCTTCGTTATGTACAAAAAGTTGGATTGAGAATAATATTGGTGAACAAATTCGGTTGAAGTAATTCAAATATGTTTTATTTGTTAAATGCAGTATTTAATATTACGTTGTATAACATATTAACATATGATCATCATTTATACAAATAAAACGTTTAGTATATTTTTTTGAAGTTTTTTTTTTATTTTTATGATGTTTTTATATTAATTTTAAGGAAAACGATAAAAAAAAAAGAAATTTTAATATTTTTAATACAGAATTTGTAATAAATGTTATACGTTAAACTGGTTTAGGACTGAGTCTTAGGATCTAGTCCAGAACCGGACTTGGTCGGACACAAGTCCTGGACTAATCATATATGGACTTAGTTTGTAGGTCCATCAGATAGGACTTGCAAGTCTTAGGACTAAAACTGGACTAAGACCGACTTTACCAACCCTATCTCAATTGGTGCTAGTGTGGTAAATATAACAAGTATGAAAATGACACAATTGGATTAGCAGAGCTCTTTCCACTGCGTGAGAATTTTTGGAAATGAAAGTATTTGGAGAATCGCTTCGCTTTGTGAACGATTATTTTTGTGGTATTCTATTTATCAAATCCTGTCAAAACACGAACAAGAAAATATTTCCAATTAAAATAACGAATACTAATAATACTTTATTTTTCCATAACTAATAACGTGGAAGAATGTCTTCTGAAAAGGAACTAGGATGTAATGATGAATACGAAGTCCACAATGAATGGTATTGTATTTATCGGAAAATAAGTTGGTGACAAGTCCACTAGTAAAAATTGAAATGATCAGTGATATTTTTGGCCCGCCTACTATACTTGCCGAAGGACTGATTAAGATGGGTAACAAGTGTCTGGAGTTTATGGATAAAAAAGAAAATCGTAATTTTCAGGTTGCTTACCAGATTGAATTACTCCCGAATAATAACCAAAAAGAATGGGAATATGCCATACAGTTGGACCCCGTTACATGGTTTGATATGTTATATAATTTGTCTGGTGACTTGCCGAATACACTAAAGGCTGCAAGAAGTTATGTAAATAGTGTTCAGAGAAAATACAAACTGCCAGCTCCTATTGAGCCTACTATGAATTCCATACCTTCTAAAATTTATTGCGGGCATCACGCAGATTGTAAGTATTGTCCTCCACCTGAGAGTAATAAAAAAAATGTCTGGAAAGCCCCCTCTCTTAAAGGTGAGAATTTGAAGTGTATTCGTGATATGAATCCCAAACGTATTATACATAACTATCCCAAATTTTTATTAGAGCGTCCTAGTAAGAACCACAACTCGAACCATGAAGAGCCTCCTGTTTTTTGTGTTGGAATGGCTCCACAGCAAATTCGTTTTCCTCGGTATTGTAACTGGTACGTGGAGAAAGAACGTATAGTCATTGGAGAAGATGGGAAAGACGGTTGGATATGTGTGTCCCAACAGGATGATGTACGTGAAATTCTAATATGTTCTCATCCCGGGACATACAATACATATGACAAGAATACTAGACCAAACAATCATAAAACGAACAAGCATTTAGTTATCGATAGGAATTTATGGATTTGGGTGCTGGGATACTTCATGTCTACATATTTGGTAGAAAATATCTGTAAGCAACAGATCAAAAATCCTGTTGAACTTTTGCGTTCAACTTTGGGAAATGGGAATCTCTAGAATCTAAAGACTATCAAGCAAAAGAGTGCCATGGTCATTTACACGTTCATATAAAACCGGAGGTGGTTATAGCATTCAAAACTGCTGGAACTGATGCCATGAATAGAAAAATAGGGCAGCCTAATAAGCAGTATGGCATACAAAATTGTATAGAATTAGAAACGCATCGTCTATTAAGTTCAGAGATGTGACAAGTTATAGAAGAGATTAGTAGACTTAGATCAGAAACTAACGAGCTTAAAACAGAAATTAATGGGATGAATCAAAAGCTAGATGAGATATTGAAACTTATTCAAAAAGGATAGTGCACTGCCATCAATAAATTATCAATTATATGACGCATTTTATTATATCAATCAATAACTGATGTAACGATATTTGTTATTCTTAATTAACAAAGAATTGAATAAATTTTTATTCGTCTACTATTAACTATTAAAACTCTCACTATATCATGTTCATTACATGGAGGTTTGCATTTACATTTTTTTCGTATGTTCATTCACTAGTTCTAGTGCATATGAGGGTCATGATGTTGACAAACTCTTCAAATTCCCAATGGAAATGCCAAAAAATGTGGAGCGGAAGAATGTTTAATGAATGGCGGACATTTATGCAAATTAGTTATGTGCAAGTTTACTCGTGGTTAAGTTAGATGGTATTGGAATAGTAAAGAATCTGTTAACGAAAATGTTTATTTGAAAAAAATATCATTACAGCATTTAATAAATATAACATTATGATCGAAATTGAGCTTACTTGTCGTCTTTGTCGTGAAATAGAGGAAAATCCTGAGTCATTTACCATTAAGGTCCCCATAATCGCAAATATTAATTATCTCAGAACGATTATTTTCAAAGAGATCAAGAGAAGAATTAATGATGTCATTTATATCGAGCACGATCACTTGGAGCTATGGAAGGTAAAAAAGGTAAAAATTGATATTCTGGAAAAGCTCGAGGTAACAAAACTTGTTAGCAAGCACTGGGAAGAACAACCTGAAAGAAAGCACTTTCACGTTATTGTATGTTCTAAATTAATAATCAAAGACTGGGAGAACCGACGATTGAAAAAACTTGTCAAAAAAATCGAAAAGCTTACTGACCTTAGTCTTAGTGATAGAAGTAAGTATTAAAATCCCCGTTACATTTATTTACTTGCATGTACCCTTTGAATAATACTAACAGCTAACACTGGCTCTTATGTTTAGATATTTCTGCGGAGGTTATCACAAATCATACAAGTATAGACGATGAAGAAAAACTAATGTCCGATGGTTATGTAATTATGTTAAATGACATACTTTATTGAAAAATAAATATGATCTAGGCGGAGCCTACGAAGTAGATTAAGAAATGTTTTTTTTTGTTTTTAGTATTTTATGAAATGCTAGAATCATTGTCATGAAATTTTTCTCCGCTCCATAAAGAAAAATATCTACAGTATAGTCTCTTATTTAGTTCACTCAGCATCATCTACTAATAACTCGTTTCTTGAACTGAGGGTCAAGTGTTTCTATCCAGTATTCTCCCAATCAAATATCTGAATTATTCCAAAACACATTAGGCCAAAGATGCATGCTCGCCATATAATAGAATAACAAATTTCGAAATATATTTAGTCGTTTTAAAGAATGTTTATAACATGGAGTGTTTATAGTAAAATTGTAGTCCGCTTTTAAAGAAAAAAAATACAAACTAAATTATTAAGCGAAATAGTAGAAACATATAAATGACTAAATGAGAGAGGACGTAACCCTTAGAGATGGGCATGTTATATAACAATATAAAATAACACAATGTTATATAACATATATAACATATATAACAGTTATATAACATAAATAACAATGTGTAACAAATATAATACTGGCCAAAAAAATTGTATAGTGACTATAATTCTAGCCAAAATTATATTAAAAAATTTCTGATGTGATCGACGAAATAATTTCCTTTTTTGATTCTTGTGTAACAACTGGCAAAGATTTTCTCAATTTTTATTGGGAGACAAAATTTCCTTTTTTGGATTTTTGTGTAACGACACGTGATATGTGCCGAAATTAGAACTTAATTCTGGCTAACTTAAATTAATTTTGGCCAATTTTGTTATATAATGTTATATAATATTATATATGTTATATATGTTATAACTAATATCAAAAAAGGGGGGACTCTTTCTGCCGATCATCATGACCATTTTTCACACGACTTCATAAAACAATAAACTTCATTTTTCTCGTTATTCCAACTAATAAACTTTCATTTTTTCTTCAAAAAACTGGTTCCTTGACGAAAAATACCCTTAATACTTTACTTTTTAACAAGTTTTACGTTTTAGTAGAGGGCTTACCAATTGCTGAATTTTTTCAAGGCTTCGTAACTAACGTTTTGGCTCCTAATAATTTGTTGTTTTGGGGAGTTTTGCTATAAGAAGACACCTGGAGCGGTCCCTTGGTAAAACTTGAGACGGAGTCACTTTAGAATATTGGTCTTTGGAAGTTGGAGAGTCAGCTTTTTGGAGTCAAAGTGGACTTTTAGAGGGAGGTTTGGCGTGGCGAACGGGGTGTACGTAAGAAGGTAAACTTCGGAGTAGTGTGTTGGTGGAAGTTTTAGGACGCATTTAGCTTTTTCTGGAGGTTGTTTGGTTTGGTGTTTTTTACCCTTTACCCTTTTTTCTTTCCTTTTTCTTGTCATTTTTTCTTTGGGTTTCGTTTTGGTTTAGCGCAGTAGTATTTTTAAGCATATGTTAAATGTCCTCTTAAGGTGTGTTACAAGGTGTGACCTATCCGTTTTAGGCAAGATTTTTCAAGCAGAAGGTACCAATCAAAATTGAAGTTTATGGATATGCTGATCAACATTGGGGAGGCCAATTATACCAAGTCACGTGTCTGGGATACGGGTACATTGGAAGACGTTGAAATAAATTTCTTTGGAGAAAAGTCCTGCATGCGAGAAACTAACTAAAGATCACAGATTTCGCCGAAGGAAGGTTTTATTCTGGTTTACTGGGATATAGTACAGAGGGGATTAATCTGTCTTTATTTAGATAATTATCTTGATAGGTTTCAAATAGGTTTTTTAGCGATCTTGCTTTTCCTTTTTGTTATCTAAGTAGTTGTTATAGATTTTTTTTTAATTTATTTGTACGGTTCAATTTTATTAAGTTATGAGATGTTGGGAACATCGTTTATCGTGAATAGCACGCTGGTTACGTTAGTCTTACACTTTAGAATAAATTCTAAAGTTTTTATATGGAGAGGTGTAGTTAGAAATAACTAGCTTCAATGTATTATGTTGTATTTACTAGTTAATGTAATGCGTTACTATTTTCTAATAAAAGGGACAAATACGTTTATAAAATAAAAAAAAAAAAAAAAAAAANAAAAAAAACTAATATCAAAAAATGTTATATATGTTATATATGTTATAAATGTTATATAACGTGTTATATGCCCATCTCTAGTAACCCTTGTAGTTCCTCCAAAGAGCACCCAAATACTTATTTTTTACTAAGAATATCGAGAACTTTCAATAACAGTCCCGTATACTTTTTCAGATCACCAGGAATTCGTAATTTCTTTTTTTGCAGAACGTGTCACTTTCTTTATCTAAAGCAATAGACCAATCGTAATATCATATTTGTCACCTAATATATATTCTAGGTGAAGCAGTAGCGAAGCCTACGAAGTAAATTTTACATACATGTTCGTCAGAAGTTCAGTAAATAACATTAAAACAGATTATTGCTACCGAAATATGGTATATAGTTTTCATTTTTTAGTGTAATTTGTAAAGATATCCGATGTGGCACAGGTAATCAATTCTAGATTTTATTTATTATCGGCGAGCATGCTCATGTAATACAATATTGATTATGTAATATTATCCGCAGCACAAAATTTCTCAACAACGAGACTGTGACCTTACGGGTCACGGTTGCCTTAGAATTTCTAGTATGTTCTAAAGCGATCACAAATAAGAGAAGTGCAGATCATATAAGCCACACATTCCGGACATGCAGCCACAAGGCATGATGATATAATAAATTACTTAATTAGGATAAGCATCGTATATTGGAATTCCATTAGAATAAACTTCGCAACACTGTATATTTTTTTCATTCCCTTAGACAAAACATAAAGACTAGTGAATATTAAAATGCTCGTTAAGTGTTAATGACAAAAAATGAATACAGAAAATAAGAATAATGGCAGTTTTCATGATATATAGTGCATAATAATGATCATACTGCAAAATATAATACTGAAGTTGATAGGGAGCAGATAACAGGAAAAATATACAGAGTGTACTATTTGGGTACTCTTAAGGTGGAAGATACATCAGACATAAAGTAATACGAATATGATATCTACAACAGAAAATATATACAAGAATAGTTCTTTAAATGATAATGAAAAACGAAGAAAATAGTAGTAAAAAAAAATAGATGCCGGGTTGTGTATATGATTTAGTGATGAGAATGAGTCAACAAGAAGCATACAATAATCGAAAATTAGGAGATATAGTGAGGGAACAATCAAAATATAATTACTCGACTACAGAAATAGCCATGCAGTATACTTATTTAGTAATCGAAGTATTATACAATATTCGCATTCTAGCAAAAAAAAGAATAATCGTTATTTTGTAATTCATAAAGGAAGTAGAGAAATCTGGGAATCCAAACGGTCAAAACTATTTTAGAAAAGCTATAACAACAAATAAAAGACCAACTGATTCCAACTTTTAACCCGTTGTATCTGATTTATTTTCGTAATGGAAATAACTTCTTTATTCCGGTTTAAATTCTTCCTGCTATTTGAAACCTGGATTCTTATTTTTTTTCTACTTTAGAAATGATTACGAATTAAGTATCTGACGGTTTTATAGGATGATTATGATACAATAATATCACCTTTCTCCTGTGGAGTTATATTTTCGTTTCTTTGTTATCTCCTACATCAGTAGTTACATCAGCAATGTTATATACAAAAATTTGGGTTGTTTTAAAACATGGTAACAATAATTAAATAATAGGACAATATATCGCCCAACTTACTGTTTTTCTTGCTCAATATCCAACTTAAACTAAATAATACCAACTCGCATTATTTTTCTAGCATTTCATTCAAGAAATCAAAAGATTGGTCTAAATAATAAACACTGAGTCCCGCCCACATGTTGCAATAGATCAAATATCAAAGGAAGGTTTAATAATAACCTATTACCATAACCTCAAATTTCTCAATAGATTTGTCAATAATTCAGTTTCAACAGTTTTAAATACTGAGGCCAAGATACAATTGAAGGAAATGCTCACTCAGTAAATCAATATTCTTTTCCTTATTGAATATGGTCATTAGACAATAATATAGAAGTACAGTCAGACCTCCATAATTGCACACCCCTTGGGACCATATGCATAATTTTCAAAATAGTGCATTTAAAGAGGGTGTGCATTTATAGAGGTAAAATAATTAGAGATCATATAAACTTGGGACAGAACCAGAGGGTGCATTTAGAGAGGGTATACATAGTGGGTGCAATTATGGAGAGTGCAATTATAGAGGTCTGACTATACTTGCCGTCCAAACCCAAAAGTTTGGGATTTGTCCAGTGGAAATACCAGGACAAATGGGATTTTCCAGCTCCTCTTAAAATCCCATGATGGAAAAACTGGAAAAATTTAGTTTGGGCGGTCATAATCCCAAATGGCCAAACCCCGGACAAATCCCAAATCTGATGGACAAATGGACAAACTTAATATGGAATTCCCCCCTGAATATCATTTTGAAAATATCAAAATAAAATTTTTTTTGCATGTTTAACATGTAGGTTATAACTATCTTTGTTGTTATACACAACAGAACGTGTACCTTATTGGTGATTAATATTATTATATAAATGGAGATAGATCAGTTAGATGATAGTTTTAGGGAAGACACAAGTGTACAGGGTTTAAAAAGTGGGGATAGTGAACGTTCAAGCGAAATAAACCCTCCATCTAATCAATTAAATAAAGAAACACCATTACCAAACCTTGGAGGACGGCCTAAAGGAGACATATGGCAATTTTTTGCAGAAATTAATAATGGAAAAGGAAAGCACAAGGGAGCAATTTGTAACTTTTGTAATTCTTCATGGAATCGAGGAAGAGCAAATGAAATGAAGAGTCATCTTGCAATGAAATGCAAAGGGCGTGTACCTAAAGATATTCGGCTAAATTTTCTTCGAGAAATTGATAATGAGCGTGAATCTTCAGAAACTTCATCTATATCATCAAGTAAAAAACGAAAAATATCTAATAATCAGACAACTTTAGAAAACTTTTATGATGATGATAAAATTGATGAAGTAAAGAGTAATCGGGCTGATAAAGCACTTATCAGATGGTTTGTCTGTTCAGGAATACCTTTTGTTGCAGCTGACTCTCCATACTTTGACGATTTTACTAAATCTTTAAATAGTGGATACAACCCACCTAAACGAACTGCTCTTGCAACTACTCATTTAGATGGTGAACTTGCAAATGTTACCTTAAAAATCGAAAAAGAATTGGCAAAAGCAAAAAATCTTACATTATGTAAGTATTTTTTTATTAACGTTACGTTTTGATATAAATTTTATTAACAGTTAAACATTATTAAATTTTTTTTATTAAACTGAAGGTGTTGATGGTTGGGCAAGCCCATTGAAACATTCAATTTATGCATTTGTTATAATGACGCCTGAACGAAAACAATACATTTATTCATTAGAAGATGTATCAAGTTTTTCACATACAGCAGATTTTAATGCTAGAAAAATGCTAGAAGTTTTAGAAAAAGTTGGTCCTGAAAAATTTTCTGCTATTATCACAGATGCAGAATCTGCAATGATGGCTGCTAAACGGCAAGTTGCAAATAAGTATCCTCATATTTTACCTATGAGATGCATTGCACATCATATCCAACTTATTTCAAGTGATATTTGTAATCACCCTTGGGCAAAAAAAGTACTTTCAGATTGTCAAAAAATAATTAGTTTTTTTAAGAATTCTTATCCTGCAGGTGCTGCTCTTAGAGAAGAAATATTTCATACATTTACTGTTGGTGGAAATTTGAAAACTTCTACAAAAACAAGGTGGTCAACAGCATGGGACTGTTGTGAATCTCTTTTAAGAAATGAAAATAACATCCGATCTGTAAGTTTTTATTTTATTTTTATAAAATTAATACAATTATAATTAAATATTATTTTAATTTTATTAGGTTCTTGAACAAAAACCACAAATTTTTGCGCGTGTAAATGCAACTAAAAATTTGATTAATGATCGGCAATTTTGGATTAATGTAGAACAACTTCGGAATCTAATTGCTCCAGTAAAAAAAGCGGTAAAAGATGTAGAATTTCAAAATACAATTTTAGCTGATGTATTTGTAGAATTGGTAAAAATAGCCATTGCCGTTCAAGAAATTCCTACTCCACTTAATAATCAGTTTCGTAAAGATTGTATTGCTATATACAATAAAAGATGAAAGCAATTTGATACTGATCTGTATCTTTTAGCTTATTTCTTACATCCAACATATCGAGGTAATTATTTAATTATTATAAATACTTAATTATATTAAAAAATATTTTTATTTAAATATAAAAATTGTATAATTTTAATGTATAGGTGATAATTTAACACATAATACATACAAAAAAATTATTTTGCGTAAAGCTTTAGAAATTTGGAAGCAAACCGGAGGTGGAGAGAAGAGTGCTAAAATTCTTAAAACTCAAATGAATTTATATAGAAATCAGGAATCACCTTTTGATGATGATTTTATAGAATCTGTTGATACTGTTAAAAATTGGTGGTCATCCTGCGAACTCAAAAAAAATGAAAATCATATTTCAATTTTAGCATTAAAACTTCATTCTATTACTCCTCATAATGCTTCAACTGAACGAGTATTTTCAGTTTTAAATTGGTATTTATGTAAGAGACGAAATAAGTAAGTTTAAATTTCTTTCAATATTATTTAATCATCTTAACTATATTTAATATTTAAAAATATTATTAATTAAATATTTAGAATGAATATATCTCATTTGGAATCATTGGCTCAAATCCATTCTTTTTTAATTGCAAATGCTCCAGGTGAATTAAATTTTATTAATAATAACATCAGTCAAGATGAATTCACTGCTGCTTTTAACCAAATTGCTGTAGCAATGGAAGAAGGTATTGATTTATTTGAGGAAAATAATTCATTTCCAGTTTTTGATGATGACAGTGAAGAGGATAATGATTTGCAATTGCAAAATGAAAATGGATTAAATTTAGAAATAAGTGAATTAATTCAGTTAAATGTAAATCAATCAGGTTCCATTAATGAAAATCAAGCAGACATAAATGAATCGAGAATTGAACATGGAGATAAAGATTTTAATATTGAAGACTTATTACATGACAATTAGAATAGTTTATTTTTACTAAAATATTAATATAAAATTGTAATTTCTATTATACATTTATAATACATAATAGTAATAATCAATAAATTCATAAATAATAAAGTGAATCGTAAATTTGGAATTTAGTTAGGGTTTGGGATGTCCACTTTGTCCAGATTATTCCAGATTGGGTTTGGGATTTTGTCCAGTTTGTCTATATTTGTCCAGTTTATTCAGGTTTAGCCGATTTGTCCAGTTATGGCCGTCCAAACTTAATTTTTCCAATTTTGACATTACGCCCAAATCCCATGGGATTTGGGTTTGGGTGGGCATTTACAGAATTTTAGTTTGGATGGCAAGTATAGGTCTGACTGTAGATTAATATTAGCGTGTTAGAGACTTTTGGTCAAAAATAGTTTCTACAAAGTAGAGTATCCTATTATACTTCCCAAAATATGTAACCAAGTATCTTCAGAAAATTCAACGCTCAATGGTAACTACCCTAAGAACATCCAAAAAAATTCTGCACAGGGTCGCACTACGGCATTATGACGGCATTATGCAGTAACACGTGAAATAAACAGTGACGATTAAGGGCGTGACATATAGTATTTTGACTAACCTAAGTCCCTCAAATACTTATGGAAATGGAAACACAGAGGATGTGAAGCGTGTGATGATTAAATTTACTATTGCGGAATTTTTTCGGGTGTTACTGGGCTAGTTCTCAATAGTAACTTACTGTTTCAGAAAATCTTTTAGAGTAAAAAGCAGAAAATGCCATTCCTAGCGGACTGTGAACTCAGTTCACAAACAATTCACGTGGTAATGCGCCACACTTAAAGCTTGGCAAAATTTTAATTTCAGCCGGGGCGCCCCTGCTAAAATAGGGGAGCGTGTTTGATCATGTGACATTAAATTATTTGTCGCTCCTCCCATCACATCCCAGTTTCCATTTTTACTATTTATCCTGGGGACAATTTTTTCGAGTTGTGAAAAATTATTTGTCACATACCTATTCATCACACCCCTACTATGAAAAAATCACGTGATCAAACACGGCTTTAGATGACCCCCAAAATAGGGAATGACTGTGGAGAAGAACAAGAGTGGACAACAAAGTTGAAATAATGTGAACGACTGCGATTAAACATTTAACAAGAAAAATATATCACTAATGAAGTGTGTTTTACTGATACGTAATTTTTGATGTCGTTATGTATATAAATTATAATTTGTTTTTTCTAGATTGAGATAGCTTCTCATCACTTTCTCATGATAGTTAGATAACATAAGAATATGGGTTATCAATTGCAGAGAAAAATAACAGGGGGAATAACGTGGAAAGGATGTGATTGGACAACTGCGGAGGAGAATATGAGTAATAATGATTGTATTATGGCTAATACATTGCAGTCGAAATGTATTTACATAAGAGAAACTATTATGGCGTTTATGGATGTCAAAAGATTATGTATCAAGGAAATGGAAAACAGACTAAAAAAACGGGTTAATATTGGATGCAACGTAACTAATGGCAAATCAACCAGTCCTCGTTAGTAATAACTTTACTAAAATGTTTCACTTGATATTGCTAACAATATCTCTATATTTATTTGTAGTTATTCTCGTTTCATATGAAGTTCTTGAACGAGGTTTTTTTAAGGAAATTCATATGCGGAAGATTTTCAATTCACATGTCAGAGAGTCCTATACGATGTTAATCAATTTTTTCGTTTCCTTATGAAGAAAGGATGTTGAGTTGTGGCAATTTTAGCTGATGTTTATCATCAAGTTTGTGAAATTCCCCAGACAATCAGGGTATACTTTACGTACTCTTAGGTATGGTAAATTGAATTATAAATACGTGGCTATTAATTATGGGTAATTTTTACAGAATCATGACAGAAATTGAGCTCACTTGTCGCCTCTATGATAAAATAGAGGAAAATTCTGTTCCATTTCCTGTTAAAGTCCTTACAAGCTAAATATTAACTCCCTCGGAAAGAGAGTTTTCGAAGAAATCAAGAAAAAAAATGATGATACCATTTCTGGTATTGAGGCCGATGACTTAAAGCTATGGAAAGTAGAAATCGACAATGATGAAGGAAGAGAATTTTCAAGTCTTAGTCTGGCAAACAAAAATGCAAAGAAGCTTGAAGTAACCAAACTTATTAGTGAGTACTGGGAGGAACAACCTGAGAGAGAACGCACTCACGTTATTGTCGATTCGCCATTATTGATCAAAAATTGGGAGAATCGACAGTTGATCGAACAAATGGAAAATTTGAGTCTTAATAACGGAAGTAGGTATTGAGGTGTTTATTTGCTTGCACATGCCCTTTGAATAATTTTCGACCAATCCTACACTCTTATATTTAGATGATAGATATCTTCAGAAAGTGTGTTTGTTCTGCAGGTGTTATCAAAATAGGAGATGAGTTAAGAATAAACAGATCTTATTCAAGTATTGTAGATGGTAAAAAAGATTCGGTGCCGGTTTATATTGGATGCAAAATAACTGAAATCATTGATGGTAAATTAACCGTGGTTCTCATTGTTTATGATGAGGAACAAAAAGTAATTTTTTCCTTAAATACGCTGGAAGAATGGTTGTTTGTTAAATTCGGTCTAGATAAGGAGTATAGACCTAAGGATTATCATGATTGTAACGAGAAAATCAAGATTAAACGTGAAGGGGAATGGATCGGGAGTTAGTATTAGGAAAACTTATAAGAAAATAAAAGATACCCGAAAAATTAACTAGTTCTAAATTTGGTGTTGGCTGTATAACTCATAGCACTCATTATTAAAGCTACTTGGTGTATTAGTGAAGCCGCTATTATTAAAAAAAAATGGTATAAAAATGAAATGTTCACCATGTGGAAATGTGATTAGTACATTTTTTATTCAAGTGCAGGGAAAAAATAAATTATACGTTGTGCCACATCTGTTGTCATGCGAACGGATCCATAAACATATGGCATGATTGATAAAAAGCCTCTTCACGGGCGAAATGTTATTATTGTATAAAATAGATTAGGGAAATCTCGAATCAAAGTTTGTGTAATTCCCATAGAGTGACTCTTTTATTGGTTTCTTCTTAGGATCATATGTAAACATCGTTATACAAATAGAACTATTCGTAAAGACCAATTAATCCGCTGGTAAACAAGACTGTGATGAAAGTCCTATGCCTAGTATTACACACTCTGTGCTAGAGATTTTCAAGTATTCATGTAATCAGCTGGAGTAAATAAACCATTATTTTTTTGTTAACGGATAGAATAACAGTATGTTCAATGTGAAATAGATGGATCACTTCTCCTACCTGTATCGAATTATTTGTTAATCAATCCTGTCAAAATTTTTAATGCGGTACGAAAGTAGATTGACCACAATATGTATTGGATAAATCATTACCAAATTATTCTGTTTCAAGTGTCCAAAAGTAATTAGTAACATGAAAGTGTCCACGCTAAGGTATTATGATTTTAATCATCACACTGGTACTTGGCAAAGATTAATTTTTCATTCCAATAAACGCCATTCCTTTTTTATCTACGGTATACGAATAAACTCTTTGCATAAGAACCACACCTAAATATTAAATCTATATATCTTGGAGGACATTCTTTCGGAAAGTATCGCACAAAGCAAATGTCATTCATCTCCCTAACTGTCCTGAGATTTCGTGTGAAAAAAAATAAAATGTGTTCTCACTTGGCACAAAAATCCCCTGATACTTAAATGGCCGTATTCCTCCCGGCAAATAACTATCGATATATTCCCCCATTTTCAGTGTATCAAAATATCCCATTCCATTTATAGAATAACTATTACGTATTTTTGAATTAACCCTGTTTTAATGTTCACAGACAAGAAGTGTCTTTGCTATATGTCCTGAAATTAACCGAACCTTACAGCGCCCCTTGACACTGCCTTTTCTTCGAAAAGTCCGTTGTGCACTGGTAATAGATACTGGTGTCCATCTTTGAGTGACCAGTTAAAAACATCTATGACAGGAACATAAGCAATACAAGTATACAACTCTTCAATCATTAGGAACAGTATCAACCAACATGTCCATAGTGAATATCTTGAGATAATATACCTGATACATGCTGCCTGTTGCGTATTTCTTTTTTTTTAATTACATATTCTAATGACCACATAGTTGACCGAAAACAATGTTGCGATAAATGTAGATCATATTTTTTCGACTCTGTTGGCCTTAGTTATATAAATAATTACTTCCACTTATTTCGAAATGTTTTGTAGATGACCATTTTTCTTTGTACTAAATGTATTCCAAAATATACTGTATAATCTGAAGACAATATATTATTAAAAATGAGTTCTAAATACATATTTTCGAATATGAAGGTTATGTTGGACTTACTCTCATCTAATCTTTGTAATATTACTAGAAAGAATTTCTTTCATACGAAAATTGTCTACGAGACCGTGACCCAGGTGTCACAGACTCACAATTGCATATCTCTCATCTCTGGGATGTACAAGTATAACATCACTAGTCCAACAAAGTAATAAATTTATGCATCAAGTACAACAACTAATCAAATTATACTTACATTACAAAGTAATGTAGCTGCGTCAGAAGGAGATTTGTTTGAAGCAACTTTATTGGAAAAATTGATACCAAATTCCACTTGATACATTGGCTTATCGTTAATATAGTTTATCGTACATTGAACCGGACATATGTTCTGATTCCAACTTGTTTGAACTATGTACCCATGCGGAATTGGATATTGGTTAGGCTTTTTAGTTTGAGTGGAGGAATCTTACCACACTACCGTGTGATGATTTTGTCACTTCGTCACGTGCTGACCTGTTTACGTTTTTTATTATGTTTCTGAGGGACTTAGTTTTTTTTTACTAGCCTGATCTCTATTTGTCACTGCATTATATGTCACCTGTACTACACGTTTAAAGTACTATTTATATTGTGACAGGGTAGTGTGGTAAGATTCCCCCATCAAGTGTATCACACAAATATAGCTTGTACTTGAGTATGCGGATGGTGGAACACTAAGAGATTATTTAAGAATACTTTTGAATAGAAGGACCAACTAAAGTTCGTTAGAGATTACAAGTGCGATTTTATAGTCACATGACGATAGGGAAATCATACACGAAGCTTTTGTAAATACAATGATTATTTGTAATTCATTTAGTTGAACTAGTTCGCTACATTGTGCAATTAACAAATTCATTTTTTAGCATCCCGATAATATCTTAGTACAGTACATCAAAATACGATCAAATTGGCAGATTTTGACCGTTCATTTCTAAAAGGATCAGATTGTTATAACTCTGAAGTATTGGGTATGATTCCCTATATGGATTCTAAAACGTTTAATCGAAAAACTCCATATAAGATCAACGAGAAATGAGATATTTATGGCTATGTTCTGGGAATTAATCAGTCACTTTCAATTGTGAAACGAGAAACGATCATATTTCTCTTATATTAGACATTCTTAATGGTTTAAGAGAAGAACCTATCAAACACAAATTTATTGAGCTTTATCAAAGTAAGTATAAATAATTGATTCTTTTGGGGCTAGTATAATCTTTCTTGTCACCGTAAACTAATTGTCGTCTGTTGAACAGAATGTTGGAAATGCGAACCAGACAAACGACCAGATATTCGCCAAGTAAATTCAGAACTTAATACTTAATAGCATTGATTCTGTAGATAATAATGTATCTTTCATTTTTTTATTCTAATGGAAGAGACATAAACGAAAAAAAATAAAGTGCTGTATTACTTATAGATAATTTCTTTCACATAGTTTTGGATATTATAATTAAAATACCAAGAAAAATCGGCATACGTAATATTTTCTTACACACATACATACATAAATACAAGTTGTAAAGTAGAAAGGTTCAAACTTTATTTGGAAACTTGCTGTTTAGTATCATCACTGAAAACTACGTATATGTAATATTTTTTTTATGCAAATGCAAGCTATAAAATATTAATGTATCAATTTAAGACTTCTCGACTGGTCGTTTTGCGAGAGGGTTATTTCTTCATTAATACTATATCCGCCAACTTTTCTCCGAAAACTTGTTTTACGTTGCGGTCATCAATAGTGACTATGAGATTACCTTTTTTGTCAATGCGTAAGATATCTGGCCTTTTTGACAAAGCCCTATGTGGTAACTCAACTAAAACATGAATGCATTTTCTTTTATCAGCCGCATTGCTACTAACATTATTGGCTGTCATAAGTTTTGCGATTTCATGGTGAAGTTTCGCATGCTCAGGTGTTTTGGATACTAGGTAATACTTGAGGGTTCTATCGTAATCCAAATCGTAGTTTATGTCCTTATTACGGCGTAGATCATCGTCATCATCATCGTCAATATTGGCGAGAATACTGTTTTCCTGAAGTTCTCCCTCCTCCCCATAGTCTTGTTCATAATAATCTTGCTTCATTTCCTTCCGAAAATTTTCAGTAAAACCAACATCGTCAGATACACCGACTTCACAATAATCCATCTTCATTTTCTTATTCTCAGGTCCAGATTTATTAGGTCCAGATTTTTTAATGACCCTCTTTCTTTTCATCATTTCTTTCATATCTTCATTTTTTATCATGTACTGAAACTCCATGCACACCTTGAAAGCTTGCATTCTAACCTTGTCTGCCGGAACTGCATCTTTGTAGAAAGCGGAACTTAACGATAACAATACCACATTTTTAGATTCATTAGATTTATCTACAAGCGAGAGTACAAGATCCGAACCTGCATGAATCGCTGGTTGGATAGCAGCATTATGGTACCTGGTTGATTCGTATACGTCTTTGACATAATCATACAATGAAACATTATTTGATAGATTTGTTTCCGTGACAAACTGCATTCCCGGCGTGATCCATTCTGGAAAGATGAAATCTGAACCGTTGGTATCGCCGGTCCACCTTTTAAGTTCTTCAAGCACGCTACAACCGCGTTTCTCAATAATTGCTGATGCAAAAGCAGCATCAAGCTCGCTGCCAATTGCCTGTTTGCTCCCAAGACGTTGTATAACGTGAGTAACATAAATATCTGTCAAAGTTTCTTTGTTACTTAACTTCAGATATTTCTCAATGCTCCTAATAATGTACGACTCTAATTCTGTATTGATTTTGAACGAATTTGAGTCCAAGTTATGAGGACGAAGGGTAATGAAAGGTGGCGACTTGACAGGAAGAATTCCATGTCGAAGCAGTTCAGCACCAGGTGAATCTGAATTAATAATTCGGCAACAGATAACTTCAATAATCGCATTTGTTGGGTTGATTCCTCTGAGTGACAAAGTACTGGCGGTATTACGCAAATATGTTACCATTGTATCAGTTATTTCCTCGAACCATTTCTTACTAGTGTTAACCATTTCATTATCTTTATCTATTAACGGTTCTGATCGGTCGGCTAGCATTTTTATAAATAACGCACAGTTTCGGGGTCGTCCCTTGAGAATATTTCCTAAATAAGAAAGAGTTTCAAGACTAACTCCATCCATATTGATTACAGTTTCGAGAATTCGTATAACATCCTCAGGTGAGAGATAAGGGAGTTTCAACACAAGATGCACTTTTCGAGGTGCACTAAGTTTTCCAACACTAGTGACTAGGGCTATTCCGCTTGATATACGCATAGTAGTGCCAGAAATAATGGGTGTAACATCAAAATCGGAACTGATCATGTGATGAGTATAGGCAAAAGATTCCATGGAGTTCCCGCTTCACTACTTCCAACGTAATCTCCGAATTCAGGTCGACAAAGACATTGCGCCTCATCTTGGATAAAGAGGATCCGTTCAATCTTAAGGCATTTATTAATGAACACTAAAAGGTCCGAAAATTCTCCTGCGCTTAGTCCTGACAGGTTTTCTCGAAGAAGTTCCATACTAGACTTATCTAAACCATGAAGTTGTGCTAATAGCCAATCCTTTGGTGTTTTGATTTTTTTCTCTACAAGCATTTTGACTAGTATTAATACACGTAAAGCGAATTCTATGTCAAGACTGCGAAGTGCCCAATTTTGTTGTTCGATTTCTTTGAAATGTGGATGTAACGCTTTAATTTCACCGAGTTCACGAGACAATTTATTATTATAATCTGAAATAATATGGGAACAGTCCACATGTATTCCCCATTGTTCTGCAGCAATGGCGAATGTGGTTGACGTTTTACCCCCTCCTGAGACTCCGGCAAGCACAATAACATCTTGTCCGTGCTCTTTAATTCTCTCTCGCACCAAATTAACGGTCTCTTGAAATTGCGGATCGTAGTATAGGGGATTCTCATAGATCATTTTAGAATTCGCTTTAAAAGGAGGGAGGCGAGGATCGATTTCATTACACGTCGTTTTAGTAACACCATAGGGTAGACATGTTTTTAAAATTGAAGGGCTCTGGTTCAGCTTATAGTATGGGTAGTTCGGAGTTGCGAGTGAAAAGTCATGTGAACGTTTCCAAATTACGGCGAGTTTCCGAGCCAGTTTACGAAAAAAAGGTTCATCGACATCAAGAACATGAGGAAAGGTCATTTGTAAATCACCTAGAAAAACGAATAAACAGTAAGGAGAAGGTTTTCAAAAAATACGACTTATAAGACTAACAATGTTACAAACCAACTATAGCATCGATATCTTCCTCATAAAAGTCTGGGTAGTTAGGCAGCCATATAGAAAGCAAATAACAATGAACGTAAGTAATATACGATATTATTAGCAAAAAACGTTGAGACACTTACCAGTAACAAAAACGGGGGCTACAAAGATATGAAAGATAATTAAAAAAAAAAGAACATGCAAGGTTAAAAATTAAATAAAGGTATTTTTTTTTCAGCTGTAAATTTGATTAAACATTGGGAATTTACCAGTGTTACCAGTGGTGGGAATAATGGCGATGACGTGAATGTTAGACACTTTAAAATTTTGATTATTATTATTTAATTCATCTTGAAAATATTCTTCAAACAGTTCTTGAAGTTCCATTTCTTTTCCACCAAGTTTTTGTACAATGTCTTCTTCGGTAGAAACATTTTTATCTTTGATCTCTCTTTTCTTAACATTAACTTTCCAAAGTTTCGTATTGTTGGAATTAACATTTGCCTTACTACAAATATCATTTTTGAGAAGTACAACTGTAAGTTCGCTTAAGTAGACTTTTTGTTTATGATCATCTTGTTGAAGAATGGCGAACTTTCCAGTATTATCATTGAAAAAGGAAACCGGAATTAGAATATCAGAGTTTAGAAGTAAACAATTGAACGACCGTGCCATTTCGATGATATTGCTAATAAGAGTGAAACAAATGTAAGTCAAAAAGAAATAAGTTGAAGTTAAAAAAAGTTGAAAGAGTTTATTGGAGGTACATATACTTGTAAAAACCTCATCATGACTGATAAAATAGACTCGGTGGCTTGTTGTAAGTTTATCAGTAGCGAAAGAAATGAATTGCTTCTCATGAGTAATTATCACGAGTATTGATTAATTACTATTACGCAATTTCATCTATATGTATATGGTAACGCAAGTGACATATTATGCAGGTGACAAATAGAGAATATAAACAACGCGAACGCGGCGGTCACGTGTCAGGTGACGGTTAGGCATCACACCTTTCCGAGGTGGTGTGGTAAGATCATTCATTTTTCGGTTGTACAATTGACTAAAAAAAAATAAAGCGCAGTAACTCAGTAACTCTAAACCCGTTATATTATTTTCTCCAAGCCTGAACTCGTTTAAGTAAATATTTGCGAGAAAATTATTAACAACATTAAAGCCGAACGATATAATACGCAATTAAGGTATGAATATTTCAGCTGTGCAAACTAATGACCATTTTTTATATAGTTTTCTAAGGACCTTACTAATACATTACTAGATCACAGAACGCAAACAACATAAAATTCGGCAGGGTTAATGTTATGAAACGTTATTTACTTTCTGATACTGCATGTTTCGTGTAAGTTAACTGTCGACAATAACTAGACACGATATTGAGTCTCACTCAAAAAGTAGTATCATTATTTTATCAATTTTATAGTGTATTGTATTTTGTCAACAAATTTAAACTAGACTCATGGTTAAAAAAGTATCCTTGATGAGGATAAATGATAATATGAATATAGAAAATCAAATATGCTAATTCATGTGTTTCTTTCAACACAGAAAAATGCGTTCTGTCAACATCAATTGTCTAGTTCTGGGAAAGCCATTCAGAAACATAATCTCTATCAAAATTAAAGAAAACGAAACGATTGGTGAACTCAAAAGACGTATTAAAGCTGAAAAGATTACTTCGAAACTGTTGGCGCAAGTGACCTCAGATTATAGCGTACAAATACCCATATAGGAAGCAATAATACATTTCCCTGTTTTGATCTTTTCGACAGCAACGAAATATTGTCATATTTTGGAATCAAAGACATTTGGAAAGAAAATCCTCCAAAATCTAATATTCACGTAGTTGTTAAAATCGAAGGTTAGTGTTGCTTTTTGCTTGCGTTGGTTTTCCGTTACAATAAATAACAAAATACTTGCAATCAGTTGTTACCCTCAACTGAAATTCATGGACATAAACATCCCTCCTAATCAGGTTATTACATGTGAGGAAGACAAGTGTGTCATGAAAAACTTGGACAAAATCAAGAGCGTTTTCGCTAATTCAATCTACAATTATAACCCTGACCATCTCCATGTAATGATAAGTTCAGATACCTGGAAGGAAGTGCATTGTAAAGCTGTTTATAAAAAATCTATATGCGAGAAACACGAGAAAGAATTCCAATGGAAGATCACCCACGCAACGGTAACATTGGTCAAATTGAAGGACAAGTTACGCAAATATTTCTCAGATCTTAATAATACTGAAAAAGAGTTTATTGGTCTTTATAGGACACATGATGGAAGCACCAAAGGGGAATTTATTCGAAGTGATTCCATGCTAGAGCGTATCATGTGGGGAAAGTTTTATAGAATCGATGTTAGTATAATCATCGAAGTTCATCACGAATAGCTACATCAAAATACTAGATAGTGCAAACAATTCATATTTTTGTATTTAAAGAACAGTTATATTACGCACAAAAAATAGAGACTCGCAATGTTAGAATGATAAATAATTTCACGCAAGTCTTCTACTTTAACATAAGGTACGACTCATCATCTCAGAATATTGTTTTTTTAATGAAGGTTAACATCGTTGCATAGAAAATGTATATTACACTGCAATAAATTTCGTGTTTATTGCACCTATCTCACTAGAGACACTTTAGAAGATATGAAATATTCCGGTTATTTCGAATTTTCAGAAAACCTGTTACCAATGGTAACGGGTTTTTGCCAAGAAAAATTTTTCATTAAACATGCGAAAATATTAACATCATACTAAAAGGATCCAAAATCACGTAAGTACGCCACATGGGTACTATAAGAGAATCAATCATCGTTTAATTTATTATCGTAACTAAAACTCATTGCAAACACTGCTTTATTCTAGTTAGGAAAAATAGGATGCACTTACGATCAGAAGACATAGACACGTTAATCAGAAAGATAATTTCATTTGTGGAAATTCTACTACAAAGATTTTACGTGAAAATTCAGTCCCAAAATATATGTGGTCAGAGGCGCAAGCTGAGTAGTTGCCCTTATATTCTGATTTTGAAACCGGTTCCTACGCAAGATTTATTTTGCATAGAATTTATATAGAAATAGATTTACTGGTGGTTCTGTAAAATATGATTATGTATCGCAACAGACAATTGCATGCAATAAACTGTCACGATTATTATTTATTTATTTTTTTGTTGATAATTACTTGGTATACAGTCTGGTATATATAGTCTAAGTAGAACAATACATAAATTTTGTCTACGTGATGCATGTGAAGGGAGATATAAACATTTAGCACTAGTGCAACTCACACAAAAACAAATTCAGATAGTTCTGTGATAAAGAATAATGTAAAATCGTTTATTAAGTTAATCATGTGTGTCCTTTGAGTAGCCTCTGACTGGTGCAAAGCATCGTGAAGTACATTTCTTTCTATGATGGTACTGTGTGATTCTCGGGATGGGATAATGTATACGATACAGAGTAACTTAAACTATCCTTTTGGAATTCTAAATATTCGACACATGGTTGACAATTTTCCTTCTAACTATTTGTTCCAGTTTTGTATCTCTTATAAAATGCGATTCAGAGTTATGTAATAATTTTTTTACCTGTAATTCACGAATGCTTTATTTATCATTAAAAAATAAACTTGGTTCTATTAAGAATACGAAATACCGTAATCAAACCGATATATACCCAATTTGGTCAGTTTCTATTCCCCCGTTTCGATTACTAAATATTCTGTGGCCGAAGCCTCTTTGCATACTCTTTTCCTCTTAAAGTTGTGATTCGTATATGATTATTGGGAAAATTGTCGGCAATAAACCTATTCCGTGGGAAAACAAATATCCGAAAAAAAAGTAGTTTTCATTGTGGCACAGGTAATCAGTAATCATTGATCGTTTCCAAAAAGCCGTTACAAATGAATCCCGCAGCACAAAAAATTGCCCAACAACGAGACTGTGACCTTAGGGTCACGGTTGCCTTATTAAAGTAAAACTGAGGTACAAATCTGGTAACGATCACATTGTGGCTTATGACTCATGACTTNACTTATTTGTAGATTGCGTAGCAATTCTTTTTTTTCGAAAAGTTGTAATTTCCTAAATCTTGTATTATATGGGATAAAAACTGTTTACTGTATTTTGAATATTGCAACATTATACCCCGTGTGGAAATCTTTCTAAGACGTGTTTCTTGTTTGGGTAGACTATTTTTTGTACCCATAGGCAGAAACATTTGCGACCAACAGCACTTTAACTGTATATGATTAATAGACAAAGCGATTACAAAAAGAAAATCATGTTTCCGATGAAATGAACTACCTCACTACACTGAAGGAAGATAAAAGGTAGTATAAAAAGTAGTATTAATGTGTGGATCAGTCTCCTGCGGCTTCAGGTATAGTATATATTACCATTATTTTTTCGTTTTTGTATGTACGGTATTTGTAATTAATGTTTATTAATCATAACACGATATTCTTATTAATAGCACAATCGATTTCATATGAAACGAAACCACCTGAAAATCTACAATGAGGAACAAGAATATATAAAGAGTATTTGATGATTCATTGTTATCCGAAAAAAATGTTGAGAAGAAATTCGTTAACTATGTGTAGCAAGATTGGATTCTTGAAGAAAGAACTTGTATATAGAAACTTGTAAGTCACATATTAAATTTTTTTGTACCCGTTTTTTCATGATTCATTAATACAACATACAACAATAGTGCATAGGCAACAGTTGTCAAGGACATAGTTGGAAAGAGAGATGATCATAGTATGCTGCTACGCAACCTTGGATTCCATTTTTTCTACACATAATTAACGAAGTAACACTTAAAGTAGCTTTAGATAGTTCACTGAAACTGGGCAACATTGTCATCAGTCGGAAGCTGCTCGAAGAGCACATGTAATATTTTATTTGTTCTCGTATTTTATATTTTTATGAGTTCCTGTCAGGATAACCTATTAATTTCCACCTCGCTCTTTTCTAAATGTCCACAACTAATAGACACAACAATAGTGTGAAAAAAATAAAGCTACTCATTTTTTATATTGCACAAAAATCCCCAATGTTTTTAATGACCAAATTCTCCCTAGTGAATGATTATCGTTATACCCCCTCTTTTTATTGTATTTTTCGATCTGGATGACAACACATTATCAAACGGCAATATACATGTTATTTCGTTTCGAATGAACCCCCATTTTATAAGTTGACAGACGATAACTATTCTTACTTTAGCATGTACAGACATTAACCAATCCTTACAGTGTCCCCCCATTGACACTGCCTTTTCTTCGAAAAGTCCGTTGTACACCAGTAAGAATACCAGTGTCCATCTTTGAGCGATCAGCTAAACATCTGTACAAGAACGTAAAAACAACATTACTATCAACTATACACGTTGTAACATCTCTCTAATTAACCGAAAATATGTGTATTACATAGATGCGTATTTTTAATTGGTTTTCTCATAGCGTTACAAAACCAAAGGTGAAAAATCACTATGCGTAGGACATAATTCTTGGTTTGGCTGGTCTTCGATAGTGATATGAATTGTGTTTAATTTAGTAATCGCAAACAATAGTCAACACTTTAAGTAGAACTGCATTTAGTTTCGATTACTAAGAACAGACTCTGTATGTTATAGGGAGGGAAATCTTTGCAATTTCCAACAATGACACGAGGCTGTCAACTTTATTTTAGCAAATAGCATGCAAAAGATTTTCCCACAATTTATGCCCAATGGTCAATGATGAACTACTAACCGATAAACAGGTAACGTTAATTCCAAACGAAATTATCATAATTAGTAGTCAAGCATTATTTTTTCTTATCTGTTAATCTCGTACTCTAACATATAGTGCATCATTTAGTAGATATGAAATTTACTCTGTAAAAGCGTTGAATATATTAAAATGTCAACCGTATAATAAACTACCATGCGCTATTGGTTGTGGTCCTATTGTTGTATAATCTGTATACAGATGGTGGCCTAAATGATCCGGCCACTTTTTAATGCAAAAAGATTTACATACATATTATATATTAAAAATAAAATTTTAAGTTAAATATAATCATTACGTTTTTATTTATTAATTTAAATAAAAATTTAATAATAAATTCTATCTTTATTTGCAATAATGGCATCAATACTGAGATAGTATGCTATTAATGATTTTTAATAATATTCTAGAAAATTTTTTTTTCCATGTGATTTCAATATTCTTCCTAAGTACTCTTAACATAAAATTTAATAAGATATAGTAAGTATAATATTGTATAAGTCTTACATAACAATATTTTTTATAATTATAGGATCTATGCAAATATAATTATTATGCAAGTTTTTGAAGCTTTGTAAGTTCATATAATTTAAATTTAAAAATAATCTAGTGATTGGATTTTCATGATTTTAGATTTATTATATTTGTCTCATTAAGAGGATTATAATTATAATGATTTTGCAGTTGTAGAATTCAATCTTTGGCATGTAATTACACTTTTAAAAGTCTAAACATTAAATTTAAACATTTTCTACAATATCTTTTGTTTTTGATAATTGGATTTTCATAATTTTTGGCTCATTAGATTCGCCTCGTTGAGACGATTCAGATGGTGGTAAATCCATGATTATCTGATCGATATTGACTGAATTACAATATTTTTAATCTTATAAATTTTTGTTGTGTAATTGTAAAAATTCATGCAGTAAATGGTTCCATATTTCCAAAAAAATTCTGAAATGATATGAAAGAATTGAAGTATGGAAATTTATTTTTTGTCATTATTAATACAAAATTATAAGTATTTTATATCATATCAACATGTAATGATCTGTGTAATTTTGGCAAAATAAACTGGCCGGATTATTTAGGCCACCATCTGTATTATTCTACGTTATTAACAAAATACGAAAAATATTCCGCTTGCTATTTAACTACACTAGTAACTCACATGAATGAAAAAAGATTCAGACAAGGGATATAATGATATTTTTTGTAATCGATGAGACTAATACTGTATATGGAGTATATCTAACTACGGTGGTGAGCATAATTATTTGGAAAAAAGAAGAGGCGAAATACGTAAAAAATGCGTTAAATACAGTCTAAAATAGCGATTTTCCACATTTATCATTCCAAATAATTTTGCTCTTTGAGCAGTCTCCGACTGATCACCAGTGTATCTCCACTCTCAAGTGCAATGATGTACGGGAATAATATATTCTATTTGGCCACAAGGTATTTATATTTTATGCATCCGTACTATTATTTGTCATATTAATACATTACAAGTATTTTATTATATTTAGTTAGTGGACTGGTGATATCGGATAATTGAAATGCATTATCAGTCGATGTGCATGTCACACTTACATGCCAATTATAATTAAAATTCTTGTACTATCATAAATCGCTATTCTTTTGACGTATTGTAAATGATTAAAGTTATACTTCTTCTAACAAAAAAAATTATCTCAGTTGGTAAATAAACACCTATTCAACCTAATATAGGTATTATTTTATTTGTGAAAACTTTGTAATAACATCTATATACACTATAAAGATTAGTACGTTTTGACATATTTTTGAGAGATTCTTTACTTTAGCGACTTCTAACAAAAAATTTTATATTCAAATATCCGTAATATTTTACGCTGTTTCCAGAAATGTTTTCTTCAAAAGTTGTTAATACAACAGTTTTCAAGAAAAGTGGCATTGTATTTTATATATATACATGTATATATATTAAACTTGTCAAAAACTTTATTATAACTTGTAATGATTGTTAATAAAGCTATATTAAACTGCATTAATGAGCATTTTCAACTGCTCTTTTCTTTCTTCGGTATTGAACGTGTTGCTTAATTCAACTTAAATCCCATTCATCTGATAAGGTATTTAATTTTTCTCTCATTTCTTCGTTCGTAGGTTTACTCTGACTCAGAATTAAAGGTTCTAAAAGAGTTTCTTCTTCTAAACTAGAAATCCTTTTAGCTTTTTGCTTACGTTTATTACCTGTTTCATTTTCTTGTTGTTCTTGCATTATAATGTCACGTTGATCAGAAGATTCTTCTTGAGGCTGTGATCGTGATTCCATAGTTTGTGAATGTTCTATTGTTTTTTTATTTCTTTTTGCTTCTTTGAGTTCTTTTTGAAAATTCAATATTTTTAATCTAGATGTGCCCAATTTGCTTCTTCTGGGCTGAGTTGTCTGGTCTTAAGAACATCTTCATAATAAATTGCTTGCATGCGGACTATTCCATTAGAGAAGCAATTCTTAAGTTGAATTACTCCTTCAACTGTCAGTTGTGATCGGTAAACATTTTTCCACGTATTACTATTTAAAAATGATTCATTTGTTTGGTCAAATTCTTGGAGGAGAATTTTGACTAAATTCCACATTGTATCATATCTTTGATTTATTGCATGATTTCTGGTAGATGCTGTTGGATCATTGAGGTATTCAGATAATAAGATTTCAATTCTATCACGTTCCGTTTGTACTAATTTTATTTGCATTTTTAAATTTTCCATATTAACTACGTTTCCTGTTATATTTTGTTTTATGAATTTCACTTTAAAAGTCTCCAGAGCTTCATCGTATGCAAAAAAATGTCCTTTTCGTTTTTCATTATTATCTATTTTAATAGAAGCTGCATAACGCAATTTATCTTCTAGTTTAGGAAACTTTTCCAAATACCAAGAAAATGACATACAGAACTAGCATACCGAGTTTTAGTTGCTGAAGCAAATAAACCACCAAATGCAGCTAAAGCATTTTTTTGTAAATCATAATTTCCAACTCGAATGCCAATACGATGAGCTTTAAATATTCTGGCCCATTGATAGTAAAGGTACCAGATTTAAAGCGCCAAATTTGCATTTTCCCAAATTTTATGCTTACTAATATTTTTTTTTTTTAATGTAGATTCGTATTGCTAAAGATACTGCAGTCCATATTAATTCAAGAACATGAACAGTGGACCTATAATCAACAACAGATTCCAATTTTTCCAAAAATTTAACTCCAAGTGAATTTGCAAGATCAAAAATTCTATAACTTGAAAAAAGAACAATCAAAATACTGCACATATCCTTGGACGTGTGCCATTGCCCAAGAATAGGACGCAGGTAAGGCCATTGATCCGTTAATTTAATTATTCTTCGAAATATTGCTTCATCAGCAACTACATCTAAATACTGTTCTGATCTTAATTCAAAATCTTTTTTGTACATTTCTAAAGATTCAAAAATACTCTCGTCAGAATTTGGAACTCCACCAGGTTCTAAAATAACTACATTTAGAGGTTCTACTTTACATCCATGTTCAACACGATTCAAAATTTCATCATGTACAATGGCCATGTCAAAATTTGTCTGATAAATTGCAATGCCTTGAAAGTTAATTTGAACATTGAGTAGGTTATCTAAAACAGAATCAAAAATATCCAAAGTATTACTTATCATTTGATTCATACCAAATAACTCAAGTGGAGAACTATTTTGGTTTTCATCATTCTTATTTTCATACAAATTAAAAGGCATTTGGTGTTGAAAAACCATTCTGAGCGTCGTATGTGTACTGGTACGTGTCGTATCAAATATGTTTCCATATCTAAAAGTTGCTTCCTTAAAATCTATGTTATCTATAACACCTAAATTCCAAATATTTTCACTCTTATTAAGACGTTGACATGGATTTATGGATTTCATTCGAACCTTTTCTAATTTTCTTTCTTGACCGTCTGTATGTCCACTTATTTGCAAAGTAGAAAGAAGACGTCGGAATTGTTGATTGAGTTTTGGTTTTCTACTAAGACTC